TCCTTGGCTCGCCGAAGCGCTGGCTCCTTGCTTCAGGCGGGTTAGTAAGTGCCGTGGGTCAAGCCATCCGTCACCTACGGCTGTGGCATCCCCTGTGCAAGAGGAACAAGATGGAATCAGGACCTGCCGGAACCCTCCTGCACCCTGGAGCGGGCACAGTACCTTACCCAGACACCCAGACTTGGCCTTTGAAGTTGTGTTTTTTTGCTGCCTGGCTCAGGATGGCTCAACTGGGAAGGACTGGAAACAACGAGTGCTCCTTTCCCACATCCATCACTGGGGCTGGGATGATTTCCCGTGGTGCTGTCATCCCCTGGGAGCAGGGCTGCTCCCTCCCCGCTTGCCAAGGGCTCTCGCCCGAGCACTGCAGGGAGCACAGCGCCCCGGGGGGAACGCGCAGGGTCTTACCTTCGTCTCCAACAACCAACAAGTTTCTCGAGCTCATTTTTTAAATTCAGTTCTGCTCCCGCTGCCCCACAGCCGCCTGCGAGCCAGAGCAGCCCGTGTGGGGCAGCAGCCCCACTGCCGGCCCCGGGCACCTGGAGGGAGCCGCTCCCGGAGGCAAGAATGCAGAATTCCAGACAAACCCAGAAGGCAATAAACCTCAGAAATACCCGGGCTTACGTGAGCGTGTACGGCTGCTTAGGGCAGGATTTGGCCTCCGGGGTACGGAGAGGTTCAAGGACAAACACCCCAAGGACTGATGGCAGAGATGGAGCCATGGAAACGTGTCTTGAGCACAAAGTTGTGGCCAAAGGGAGGTGAAGCTGCAGAGATTTGCCAAAATCCCACCGAGCCCTGCGTGAAGAGCTCTGTGGGGATGGCACGGGGACCTGCGCCCGGGTGGGGACAGATGGGGGACCAGCAGGACGCAGCTGGGACCCGCACTGTGGCAGATGTTCCCAGTTAGCACCAGCAATCCTGGGGGAGGAACATGCCACAGAGGATGCAGCTCCCATGGGATGGTCAACACAGCCAAGCAGGACAACAGCCATGAAGATAAACTGTGAGGGCAAGGAGGGAAGGGAATGCTGGAAAACGAAAGAGGAGAAGGCGACAGGAGGAGGCAGGAGAGGCAACACGATGAGCCTCATCTGTAGGCCAAGAGGCTTGTAGCTGGCAAAGCACATGGGCTGTTTGCGCCGTAGGAGCTTGGGGCCGTTGCTCAGATCAGCAGCTTCAGAGCCGGTGGCGCAGCTCTGGGGTGATCGGGGACGTGACCCCACCCGCAATTCGCAGTCCAAAGCATCAATCTGCAACTTCCATCCGGGGGCCTCGAAGCTGTCGGTACCTGGATTAGCGGGGCGGGATGTGGTGGGTCGTGGGCTGAGCCATGGGAGAGGCTGCACAGCCCTGCCGGAACGAGGGGCAGATGAGCCCAGCTCCCCTCCTGCCACCGAACTGCAGACCTCATCCCTCCCGCCCTGCGCTGCCACGCAGCAGGGAGAACCGAGATCGGGTACGTGGACACGTTTGATGGCGGCTGTCGCCTATATCTTCCAACAAAAAATTCCCTTTGCAATTTCTTTGGAAAGACCTTGGGGTTCCTTTGGGGAAGGGGGCTTGAAAGGACCAGCCCTGCTTCAGTCCAACAGCTTGCCCAGGGGCTGAGCCCAGCTGGACCAAGGAAAACACGGAGCTGAGCCACCAGCTCCCCCGGAGCAGCATGGATTAACTCGGGCATGGCTCGGGGGGACCTCAGCCCCCTGGCTGGGGGTCTCCACAGGGGGATGGAGCAAGAGATCACCTAGCACCAGAATTGGTTTTGGGAGAAAACTAAAGGGACAAAGTTCAGCTGAGCCCCATGTAGCCATCCCAGCTGAGCTGTTGCTCACCCTTTCAAGGAAGCCACAACATGTCATTCTACCCCCGGCACCTTTGCTGAGACTCAGCAGCTCCTGGGCCAGTTCCCCAGCCTGGGCAAGGTCCCTGCACCGAGCCCCAGCCTCTCCAAGCAGCCTCCACGCAGCACCAGGCCGGTGGGACCCCGTCCTATCCCTGGGGGTGGCCCTGCACCTCGAAACGGGCACTGGGAACCCCCTGATGGCACCTGCAGCCACCCAGAAAATCTGGGCAAAACTCAGGGAAGCCGAACCCTGTTCACCCACAAAACCTCTTTACTTCGGAGAGGGACGCCAGGATGACACGGCTACAGAACAATCAGAACCATCCTCAGAGGACACACTCTTCTCTCTGAATCCCAGGGGAAAGTCATCCAGGGCTGAAACTTATGCATCAGTCAGAGAAAACATCTTGATTCCTGACACCTGCTCCAGTGGGAGGTGTCCCTGCCCATGGCAGGGGGTGGGACAGGGGGGCTTTAAGGTCCATTCCCACCCAAACCGCTCCACGATTCTATGATGCTCAGAGGCCAAGTGAAGGAGAGGTGGAACACGGCCCGCGAAGGTGGAAGCTGCCGGCAGGGCTCCTGCCAGGCTCCTGCAGAACCATCCTGGGCCACAGCAGATCCAAACCCCAGGGGCGCAGGAGGCCGTCCTTCCGCATCAACTCCAGCACCCTCTCCTCCCAGCTCCCGGCCCTTTTGATCTCCAATTCCTGCGTGAGTCCAGGTTGTGCCGGCTCTGCCCCACGGCACGCTGTTCCCCGACAGCTCTGCTACAACTGGGCACGTGCCAGGACCCTCTTCTGGCGATTTTTGCAGAAAGAGATGACTTGGACGAGATGGCCCTGCACTACTTGGGTGGGTAGGCGGTCGCTGCAGCACCTCACCGTGCCAAGCAGGCAACGGTGCACTGGTGGTTACAGCCCGATGAGCTGCCTGGGCTCAGAATTCCGCAGAATCCCACCCAGGAGCCAAGGCCTCCGGATAACCGGCACGGCGTCCCTTGCCCCACGGCGCTGGGCGGCATCGCTTGGACTAGGCACTGCGCACCCGGGCTCCACACCACGCACCTGGTACTGGGAGGAATTAAACAAGGAAATAAAGTGTATTTTTTGCAAGCCAGACAAGGTGGTTCACAGGAAGACAAGGGATAAGCCGAAACCAGATAAACCAGTTTAGAAAAGCCCCAAAACCTCTCCAACCTGGGCTGCTCAGGACACCCCGGGGTTGGCCCCAGGGCCCGGGAGATGCCTCCTTGCTGGGGTGCCAGCCCAGCCATGCCACCACCGAGTGGTCACAGTCCACAGTCGCCAGCCCAGCACTGGGAGTAGCTGTCAAGTATTTATTACACATTAACCAGAAGTTTACAAATCTTGGGGCCAGCACAATCATTTTCACATTTTTCACATTCTTTCACATTTTCACGCCTGCCTGGAGAGCAAAGCAGCAGCCGGAGCCCTGAAAAACCTGCTGGTGCACCCAGGGCTCACAGCCCACCCGTGGCACCAGGGCTCTGATCTCCGGCCCAAACCCATGCTGGCAGCGCCGTTCTCCTGCCGAAAGCCCCGGCAGGCATCCCCATCCCGGCTGCGAGGAGCGGGGAGATAAGGACACAGCAAGGGATGAGAAATTCAAACCGGAGCGGGCACCCGTTGTTACCCCAGGAGCACGCCGGGGGCTCCCAGCGTCACCCCTCACACCAGCTGGGCTCAGGGAAACTGAGGCAGGCAGCCCCTGATCGCTGAAGCTGCGTGTTGACCCCACAGGATGGGGACGTGCCCCATGGTATGGCTGATGGCACTGCCCCAACCCCGCTGGGGGATGCCCAGCCGTAGCCTGGGGCGGATGGACGATGGCACATCCCATCAGGGACAGCCAGGCTTTTTGGGGGTGAGGGGAAATCTGTGTTTTGTTTCCAAATTAACCACGCACAAGTTTCAGGTTTGCTTGGAGCACAACAAAGGGCAGCAGGTGCCTTCTGAGGGGTTCATCCGTGGGGCGGAGAGGGCATGAGCTCTGCGTGTGCCCTCTTAGACCTCCTCAGTCCCGCTGTGTTTACCACCAAAGCGCCGTTCCCGGTACAACTGCCCTGACAATGCTCTGAACAGAGTCAAGACTTTATTCCAGGAAAAGGTTTTCTACTGGAATAGTTTATACCAGTTCCCCTACCAGAATAAGCAGCACTGACAAAAACATACTTCTGCAGATTTACTAGGATTTCTGCCAGCTCCTGAGACAGGAGAATGTTTTTCACCCATCTAACTGCTAGGTCCTTCAGAGAAAACATTACACATGCCGAGCGGGGCTGGGCGAACCCCAGCAGAATAAATGAACTGGAAGTCCCTGACCCATCCGGCGGCAGAAAGCGGGGGCCCACGCTCCCTTTCTGTTTGCAGCCCGCCCTGTTTTCCCGCTCCCCGCTGATTTATGCCCACTGTCGGCTCGCCTGCTCTCCTTCGCTACGGTTTACAGAGCTCGCAAAAACACCGGCCGCGCGCCCGCGCTGGGAGCAGGGCAGAAGTGGCCGGGAAGATGGAGAAGCAGGTCCTGGCACGAGCCGCTGCCAGGCACGGGACGGACCCACAACGCACGCACCGGGCGAAGCGTCCCGCAAGACACGGCCAAGCCCTCTCCGAGGCCAAGCTGCAGCAGGGAAAACCCTCCCCAGGGTGGGCACC